TGCAATATTCTTTGTAGCAATTTCCTTGTATGTGAGGCCATTTTCATGTAAAGCGATGATGGCTGCACGAGTTTCTTTGGAGGTAACCATTGCTAACAAGAACACAATGATTGGAAGTGCTTCTTCCCTCCTTTTATAGCAATCAGTCTGGTCTTACATTCTAATTAGTATGATAGCGATTTGACCTGACTAGTACTCATTCACACTTTCACATGTGCTGCTGATATGATTAGTCAATTAATGTTAGCTGGTCATTTTGTGTCAGGATCAAAAAACAGAGAAATTTGTTTTTTGTGAAAAGTTCATTTTTTGGCCAATTAAGCTTTTAGCAATTATTTAAAATGCATCTGTTCACTCTACACAATAATCTAGAAACAATGTGAATGAACACCAAAACAGCTTAAGCAGCTAACTTTGCAAAAATGTATGTCACTGCCAAAACTTTTGGCCATGTCTGTATATTAGTTAACATGAACAATAATTATATAGCATTTATTAATATTAAGTTCAAAATGTACTAATGCATTATTAAAATTTAAAGTTGTATCTGTTAACATACTGTGAATTAAATATGTATTGGTTTGTCATTCTAGCTAATGGATCTGAGCAGTAAAGGATCAGGCTTAAAAGATTTCTTATCCTATGAGTGAGGGGGTAGGATACATTACCAGTCAAAAGTTCTTGAACAGTAAGATTTTTTATGTTTTTTAAAGAAATTTCTTCTGTTTACCAAGCCTGCATTTATTTGATCCAAAATACAGCAAAATCAGTAATATTGTGAAATATTTTTACTATTCAAAATAACTGCTTTCTATTTGAATATTTTTAAAATGTAATTTAGTCCTGTGATCTAAGCTGAATTTTCAGCATCATTACGTCAGTGTCACATGATCCTTCAGAAATCATTCTAATATGCTGATTCAGAAATATTTATTGTAATTATTATTATCATCAATATTTAAAACAGTTGAGTACATTTTTTCAGGAATCTCTGATGAATATAAAGATCCAAAGATCAGCATTTATCTTAAATAAAAAGCTTTTGTAACATTATACATTATACCATTCAAAAGCTTGGAGTCAGTATAATTTTGTTTTTTAGGAAAGAAATTGTAGAAATTATGACTTTTATTTAACAAGGATGCTTTTTTTTTTTTTTTTTTTTTTTGGGGGGGGGGACAAAATTATAGAAATTCATACTTTTATTTAGCAAGGATGCATCAAATTGATCAAACGTGATGATAAAGACATTTATAATGTTACAAAAGATTTCTATTTCAGATAAATACTGTTCTTTTGAACTTTCTAATTATCAAAGAAACCTGAAAAAAAAGACTCCGCTGTTTTCAACATAATACGACACAAAACAAAAAAGAATGTCTTTTAAAGCAATCTCGTCGAAGGGTAGAGATTGCCA